CCTAAAACTATTTTTTTTCCTAATGTGCTAACAGAATTCTAAATAACTATCCTAAATAATAAAAGAAAAATATTCACAAAGAAAAACCACCACCAACAGCTATCTCTACTAAGGAGGACACTAAATTGTTCCAACTCTCAGAAGGGGGGCTATTAGAAGACATTGAGTAGCGAGCAGGGACACAATGCCCTTTATGTCCGCGGAAGGGATTGTGGAGGTGTGAAGGGTGCATGTGCAACCCCTGGTGGACTCTCCTCATAAAAACATCTGACTCCTGTCCAGAAGGCATGTGTGCACCATGAGTGGGATCCACATGCACAGGAACTCATAGAAAAAACTATCCGTTTGGAATTCCTACCCAAAACTGGAAATAACATGAAATAGTTAAATCTGCTTCTGAACTATTAAACCAGCAAGTGTTCCCATTTAACTACTGGGGAGTATAGTTGAAGAAATAACATGGGAAGTCCCTATACTGTCTCAAGAAAAGAAAAATAGCAGCTATACGGCTCTATTTTACATGAAGTATAGTGTGACCAGCAACCTTCTACGGGAATGCTCTGACTAGAGGAGTTAGCTCTTGGAACAGACAATGACCTATAGAAATTAATGAACAACAAGTTCTTGAACAAACAGTGAGGTATCTCACAAAAGGGAGAGCCTCTGAAATAACGCTAATGGGTGTTATGTAACCTTAGGAGTGCTTGGTATGGAGCACTAATCTTAAATGGAAAGTTGTCGCCCAAGGAAAATGAATGGATAAAAACAGCATCAAGCCAGATGTAAAAGCAGCCTGTCTTCCTATAGTAGAGGGATGCAGTTATTGCCTCAGTTTCCCTCTTGGTTTCCTTCTGGTCTGTAGTTTTCAAGCAGTTCTGGTGAGTTGAAGTGACTTGGCTCGCCAATTAGGTCATAAATACTGTCCCCTTCCTCAGTATAACTAAAAGGTCAACAAAACAGTCTCCCACCCTACCTCATGTTGGACCACAGCCCTTCCCCCAGGCATGATTATTTCAGTTCTTTGCCAGACACAACAGTCCCTTCAGCCCTGATGTCAAAGGGTTCGGAGAAGGGGGTATTCCTCCTGCCCTTGCTGGAATCCACAGCGTAGGCCCCCACATACATCAACTCTAGCCTCAATCCACACTGCAGTATAAAGCCAAAGCCTCGTCCTCTCATACTTCATACACACCCTTCCTGCAAGGGGGTGAGGGGGTTAGTTCTGCCTCTAATTCCCTCCGAGGCCCTTTCCCTCAGCCTCCTCCAACTGTTTTCCAGGCCTCCTGCCTGGTCACAGTTGAAAGTTTCATCCCAGGTACTGCTTCAACCTTGGACTCTCCCAAGATTGCACTATATTCAGTCCTGAACCCACCTGACCTCAGTCATAAAGGTCACTTAGTCATCTGAACCCCCATACAACAACAATTCCCAGGACCTCTGCAGATTACATTTCCCAATACTGAAGCACTGAGCCTCCAGTGACACTTGGGCTGGTGTTGCCTGGTTTTGAAGGGGCCAACACATTCTGTTACACTGCAACTATTCCTAGGGAATGAAATGAGTTTAAGTGCATTAAATCTGCCCTACAGTATCAGATTTTTGCCATTAGGAACAACTTGTTCCTAATTAACAGGGTTATGCAATTATGCAAGTCTCCATAGTCCCAAACACTGCAAGCTGTACATGGAAATTCAAGGAAACTACTTCAGCTCAAAATCCAACTGGCCTAAGAAGTAAGTGCACTGTTGATGCATATAAGATTGGTATCCTAGGTTCCAATTTTTCCAAGGAACAGCACTGAATGATAAATTTCAATCGAACCAGCTAGACAGAATCTTCATCAGTAACAAAGATCTTGGAGAAATGCCTTATATTTGAATAGCAGCACCTACTGGTTTGCAATTTGCATTTGTAAGGAGGAGGTCGAATAAATTTTCCTGCCCAGGAGATCCAACTTCTTTATCCTTCGGAGTGGACTTGTACCTCCCTTGACGTGACCTCTCATTGGCTACTGTCATGACAAGCAAGTTAAGGGCAGGATGCAAATAAAAACACTTGAATCCCTACATAAATACATAATGATTGTCCATATGCTTTCTCATAGATGTCAAAGATGTTGGGACGTTCCACAAAGCAGCAGGTTCCAACACTGCATTGTTAACAGAGCTATTCTCCCTAGGTTCTAGGACTTAAAAATATCCACTAACTTGTGCATGTTTTCCTGCACCAATTCGGCCTGTATATCTATGGCCAATGCCAATCATCTAAGGAGGTCCTCCTGTGCCTGAAAGTGTTCAGCACTGGAGAGGAAGCATCTGTTACCATGGTGTCATCTGGTGATGAGGAAGATGAAGGAAAAGGTGTCACTGGCCTCTCTGGATGCAGTACCAGACCTTGCACCTGTTCTGAGGTAGTGTCCTCCACCTGAATCTGCAATGTAGGTGGCTGGGGAGGTGATGCCATGGGTGGGTTGGGTGCTCTTGCCCGGAAGTGGGTTGAAGGTCAGGACCTTAAGAAATAAGGAACATCCTATGGATACCCAGGCCACTGTGGATAGGGATAAGGCATCAGTGGCCAGTAGGCATTGGGCCAAGAACCTGTCTCTGCTGCGGGAAGAGTCATGGATGAGAAAGGGGTCAGGATGAGAAAGGGGTTCTCAACTGTCTTTTAGACTGGGAGGGAGGACCTCAAGCTTGACTACGATGAATTCCCAAAATCATCCAGAGGTAATGGGGGAGCAACCCCTGGCAGAGCAAGACAGAGTCCAGCCTCATCAGAGGTCCAATGTGCAGGCTGCATCAGTCCCAAGACTGACAGAAGTTGGTGCCCTGAAGGACTGGCAAGGGCAATGCATTCTCATTTGGTACCAATGCCAAAAAAGGCACAGACACTGGCATCGGTACTGATCCAGTAATGATACAGTCTGCACCATGACGACTATTGGTGCCAAAGATGACTGCTGTGCTAACAAATCCCTCAGCACCAGTACCAGCGCCAGCCTCAATTATGTACTCAATATGATATGCACTGTTGAGGGCGGTGTTGGCAGCTGAGATACCTGCGGAGTTAACCTACACAGTGCCATCATTGCTGATGAAGTCGCAGCACCTGAATATTCCCAGACAATTGGAGAATGAGGATCCAAAAGGCAACGCACATCTGACATTGCCTGATATGTCAAAGGACTGGACACCACTGGTGCCAATGTCACTGGTACCAGACTCAGCAGACATCCCATGGACAGAGCCAGAGTCGGCGGTACAGCCCCAAATTAATGTTGCCTCGGTATTGGAGAGCAGGTAAAAGGGCCAGTTCCATCACGTGTACCTGAAGAATCAAGGTGCCAGCCTGCACTGATTCTGGCAGAGGAGGACTCTCTCCAAGCTCTGGAGTGGCTATGGTCTGTTTTATAGGTCATTTTCTCAGAGGCCCAAGGGAGGTGAATGATCCCTCTTCCTCCTAGAGGAGGCCTCAGAGTCTGGCAGAGGAACATCGTCTTGTTATGGTTATGATGGTGGCTGAGGAGCCAATACTGTGCCTGGTGCCAACCAGGACTCATGGCATGCTGCATCAGGTGCTGCTTGAGACTCAAAGTCCCTTGACACCTGCATTCTTAAACGATTTGCAAATAGAGTACCTTTCCTTAATGTTCCCCTCTCTAAACACTACACATGAGGATCACTATTAGGAACAGCCACCCCACACGCCAGACAGAGCTTAAATCCTGGTGAAGGCATTCCACCTGAAAAAACACAGCTACTCAACCTAACTTTTCTAACTAAGGCACTACTAGATAACTAAGTATTATGACTATTTACAACAAAATTTCAGAAGAATGAAATACAAAATCAGAGTGAAGAAACCCCACACAAACTCCAGCTCAAGCTGAGGGCAGTGAGAAGGAATGGGGGGTGGGGAAAGAAAGAGGGTCAGAGCAGCAGTGCCCTTAATAGTCATGTGAGGGGCCATAAAGAAAAGGTGCAAGCACCGGCCCTATGGCTACTGCTAGGCAAACTTTTCTGGCTTTGGTGCACTGGACACATGCATACCTGAGTGGAACATATCTGCAACCACTCAAAGAACTATTTCTTGTTTTGTCTCATGGTATTTAATGAAAACCTTTTAATTCACTGTCTTCATTTGATGATAGGATCAGTTTTCCATTCATCACACTATACTAACAAATACTTTAAAGGGGCATTTTCTTTTTCATTTTAAAACCTGACTTGAGCTTTCGGAAGCTGTCAGATCAAACGCTTATTTAGCAACATCCATCTTCCCAACGCACAATAATGCATTCTTTACAACAAATACAGAGGATGACATTTCCCATATCTGCAGGTGGACAGCCTTCACACTAATGTCTTCTTGTAGTTTTGTTTTGTTTTTAATTGGAAACAGCCACATGAAAAACTGCCACTTAAATACATTTGCAAGACAATTCTTCCCTAATCAACTAAAACAGACCTCTTTGTTTGGGATTAGTTCTGCTCCTTCCCCCACCCCCAGTGGTGAGTTCTTAATTTAGTGGATGAATTTGGTCCTCATGAAAGTGAGGATCACAGCTGGAGGCAAATGCATAGCATGGCAAGGTGCTGTGCAGGATTCTCCATATAGCTCTGCCAAATTATGTGATGGTTTTATTATGTGGACAGATGTCCCCTGAAGACCAAGAAGCAACTACCAAATTCATTCTCACTTCGGACCTACTCAGTATTGGAACCCGATTTACCAGAAGTGAATGTTAAGTGCTTTAGCCCTACTTTGCTTACTAGTTCCTGCACACTCACTGCACTACATAGCTCCTAGAATTTTTCACTTAAATTCTAACTGTCCACTTAAGAGTCTCTCAGAATATTAAAAACACAGACCTTCAGGGAAAAATTACTTGTTTAGCTAATTTATAACACAGTATGAAGTTTGCTTTGATGCCTGAATAATCATACACATGATTAAACAACTATTTTTCAAATTTAGGTAGGCCAAAACTATTTCCTTACCTCCAGGGTCTTTGTCTGGATTATATTCCAATGCATTGCTACAGATGAGATCAATATCTGTTAGGAAATCCTTGGCAGTCAAATAGTTGTGTTTATCAATTTTGGTTATTACTGTTGACAGGTCCATTGGTTCTTTGATAACTTCAAGATAATCTGAAACCTACAATCAAACAGCATACTGAAGTGACACAGGGCCTTATGCATTTCATCGGCACACTTTCCCACGTTATACACATATTTATGCAGCATACTTAGTACTAATTAAGAAATGTGCCAGTTCAACATTTTGAGCATTCTCATTTTCAACACATCTTTAATTCAAACATTTTAAACACAGAAATTGAAATTACAGTGCTGGTGTTAGACTGCTAAAGTTATAGTTCCTTCAGAGAATCAATGATACGTCTAATTTTCAGAGCAAACTAAATTGGTGCTGCAATTAAAGCCTCTTTGATATTATAACATTGTCCTGAACATGAAAAATAGTGGGCCTACCCCCACACAAAGCAGAACTGTGAAACTGTTTCTCCATTCTGTAGGTAAGCCTTTTTTGTTAGTTTAAGTAGTCAAATCATTAATCTTTAAAAATAATTTTCTGCAAAACATTTGCAATAATAATCTGTATGAACACCAAATCTAATTTTGCCACCATGGACTTTACAGCAGGGCTTTCTCAGAAGAAGGCCCCTTGTCTGTGGAGTTCACTGCCTTCTATGGTGCACCTCATCATGGGTTCAGCAGCCCTCCAGGCAGAGTGAAAGGTATTTAACTGAATTAACTATATGATGAGGGGTTAACTCTTGGCAAGAGAAGATACCGACAGAGCTCTACTAACTGTAGCTCACTGAGATATGCATGTATTTATTATTTATTCTTTACTTCGATTAAAACAAAGTATGCTTTTGCATGAGTGCTTCAATGTAATTAAGATTACAATCAATTTAAAATGTAGGTAGGCCTCAGTGTTTGTGTAGTCCTGAATATTTTAAAATCACCCATATATTAAGGTGATGGTTGCCAAAAAAAGGAAATACGTTTAGATCAAACTGTAATGGCTCCAGAGGAATAATTTTTGATTAACCAGGTAAACATGCATTTTTAGAAATTCCAACAAAAAATATATCACAACATAAATCTTAGATTAAGACCATACTTCAACGTCATATACAATACCTATCTACTGTCTAAATGCTTAAACATATATTTAAAGTGCATTTTCTATTCTGAACAGGCAGTAAAAATGGCATCCCCAAATGTAAACTGTCCAGTTTACACGTAGAATGATATTTTTCTAAACAGAGGCCCCTGTTAACTCATCCTGGGATCTAAAAGTCAACCTGTATTTTTTCAAGTGTATCACCACCAGTAATAGAATCTTCATGTGAAACTGCAAATTTATATAGCAGATCAGTTAAATAAGAAAAGGAGGTCTTCTCGTTAAGGCATTAGGGACCGGGACTTGAGAGATATGGGATTAATTCCTAGCACTGTCACAGATTTTGTATAACCCTTTGGCAAATCACTGAATCTCATCTGTGTCAATTCCTCATCTATAAAATGAAGATGATAATATTCCTTCTGCATAGTTGAAGAGAATAGTTCATAGTTCTTTAACAAACAAGTTAAGTTACAAATAATGTTCAAATACTGAATCTGGCTTGAAGCTGGTGGAGGACTGGATGGGGCCTCACATAAATGCCTGTTAACTCTGCATGTAATTTAAAGTGCAGTTCTTCTCTAAAAAATTACACTAAAAATGACATTGCAGGGTCCCATTTTTATTGTCTCTCAATGACTTACAGAACAAATGTTCAGATTGGAAGTAGAAGAGTGGTTTTTTTCTTACTGCCATCCCTACAAAGTTAGTATTCTATCTGAAAGCCAAGCTAGGCTCTCTCCTTTTCACACACCAGCACAGTAATAGACTTGCAGGCCAAATGATGCCCTCAGTTATAACTGCAACCCAACTGTCTTCCAATTATGTCCTTCAACAGTAAAAGCTAATTTTTGTTAATTAAAGAAAGCAACTACAATTCCAAATACATCCTGGTAGCAGATTTGATGAATAAGGTGCTACCATTTTTATAATGCTGATTTTCAGAGTGGAAAAGCACTTTAAACTGACTAGTATAGGCTAGAGTAATGAAAGTTTTTCTGCTGAACCAGTAGTGTGTCCAAGAATATGCTTCTGATCACTCACACTGTGGTACAGAAGGTTATGACTAAGCCACCAGTTGATTACTGATGGGCAGAATTGGCTAGGTCATGGATAGCAAGGATATCTGGGATATTAATCTACCCATGCCCTTTTTAATTAATAATATTTTTTTTCTAATAGGTTCAACTTCATTTTTTGCACGTTACTGAAACAAGACCTCTTCAATATCCACCGGTTTGCTGAAGATGTTAAAGCGTTTGTCTGTGGCCAGCCTCTTGGTAACATCCCTGAGAAACAACCGCAGTTCTCTCAATGTGTTCTCCTCCTGGTCCTCCATTCGTTGCTTTTCTGTTTCTGAGAGCTGGCGGGGAGGAGACGGTACTGCAAGAGGAAGAACTTCCAGAGCACAAAGAGCTGGGGAAGAAAGCAGGAAAAAGTAGTATTAGTAAGAGGGAATTGTAAGATTACCCCTTTCTGGACTTTCACAATGCATTTAATCAAGGGGGGGGGGGATTTCCCATTTTCCTTCCGACTTTTCAAACTTCACCATTTAAGCGCCTTCCCGTCTCACTCAGTATAATAGAAACAAGCGAGTTCTGCACATTGATAAACTGGCAGTTAGGGTCATTAACAACTGAATTTCCCAAAACCATTTAAAAAGAAAAACATTTTACAGTACAAAACTTTATTCAAACAGATTCTCACACTACTGTGGCTTTATTGTAAAGTAGCTTACCAGCCTGTTTCCTTTTGGGAGGGGGCATTGATGCCTGATTAAGAATTAACTCCTGGAAAAATCTCAGTCTGTCTTCTTCACTTGGTCTTTGAATATAAAAAACCTCTTCATACTGGATTCTAAAGATACACTTCACCTGCCAGAAAACAATGTCATGAAAAGTCAAAGGATTCAACTTGTTCTTGAACTATTTGATCAATGTATATTTTAAACACAGAGGATCAACTTTTCAAAAGACACAAACTGGCCGTATTTAAGAAGTTACCGAACCATTTCCAAAGAAGCACAACGTCCAAGGAAAAAACGGTTACCTACCTTTTCGTAACTGCTGTTTTTCGAGATGTGTTGTTCACATCCATTACACATTAGGTGTGCGCGCGTTGCATGCACGGATGTCGGAAACTTTTTCCCTTAGCGGCTCCTGTCGGGCCAGCAGCGGTCCCTCCCCCCCCGCCAGAGCGGCGCCCCGCTCTAGCATATATATACACACCTGCCAACCCGACCCTCCCTCGGTTCCTTCTTGCCGGTGACTCCAACAGAGGGGAAGGAGGGTGGGAAGTGTAATGGATGTGAACAACACATCTCGAAGAACAACAGTTACAAAAAGGTAGGTAACCATTTTTCTTCTTCGAGTGATTGTTCACGTCCATTACACGTTAGGTGACTCACAAGCTTACCATAGGAGGAGGATAGGAGTCAAGCAATGATTGAAGCACAGCCCTGCCAACTACCGCGTCCTCTCTGGTCTGATGATGGACTGCGTAATGGGCTGTGAATGTGTGCACCGACGACCCGGTGGCCGCTTTACAGATCTCCTGGAGTGGAACCTGCACCGGGAAAGCCGTCGAGGATGCTTGGGCCCTAGTCGAGTGAGCCCTGATCGCCGGGGCTGGTACTTTGGCGAGCTCATAGCATGTGCGGATGCAAAGCACAATCCATTATGATAATCGTTGTGCCGAGATAGGCCGGCCTTTCATTCTCTCCGCAATGGCAATGAACAGTTGTGTCGACTTGCGAAATGGCCTGGTCCATTCCAGATAGAATGCCAGGGCCCTACGGACATCGAGGGTATGCAGGCTGCGGTGGTTCGGGTCCGTATGGGGCTTGGGGAAGAACACCGGTAAACAAATGTCCTGCCCCATATGAAATTTCAAGACCACTTTAGGGAGGAATTTGGGGTGCGGTCTCAGCTGCACCTTGTCCTTATAAAAAAAAACTGTATATGGAGGTTCCGAAGTGAGGGCTCTCAACTCCGACACCCTCCTAGCCGATGTAATGGCCACCAGAAACACTACCTTCCATGAGAGGTGCATGACAGAGCAAGAGGCTACGGGTTCAAAGGGTGGTCCCATGAGCTTAGTTAGGACCAGGTTAAGGTTCCATGTAGGGACCGGCAGGCGTGAGTAGGGGAACACCCTTTCCAGCCCCTTTAGAAATCGGACTACTGTGGGGTTGGAAAATATCGAATGCCCCAACTCTCCCGGGTGGAACACCGATATGGCGGCCAGATGCACTTTAATTGAGAAGGGGGCGAGCCCTTGATGTTTGAGGTGCAGCAAGTAGTCCAGTATTGATGGGACGGAGGCCTGCAGAGGCTGTATGTGATTAGGCTCGCACCAGTGGGAGAACCTCTTCCATTTGGCAAGGTGAGTCGCTCTTGTGGAGGGCTTCCTACTACCAAGGAGAATTTGTTGGACCTGGTGGGAGCACCTATTCTCCGTAGCGTTTAGCCACAGAGATTCCACGCCGTGAGATGTAATGACGGTAGGTTCGGGTGGAGTAGGCGACCCCGGTCCTGCGTGATGAGGTCTCGGTGCAGGGGTAGGGTAATTGGGGCAGTCAATGACAGTTCCAGCAGGGTCGTAAACCAATGCTGGCATGGCCACGCCAGTGAGATAAGGATAATCGCCGCTTTGTCCCTGCGGGTCTTGAGCAGGACCCTGTGGATGAGCGGGAAGGCGTACCTCAGGCTCCCGCCCCACTGAATCGCGAAGGCACTGCCAATGAGCCCAGGCTGAGGTTCTGGAATGAACAAAACCAAGGGCATTGGCTGTTGTCCTTGGTGGCGAAGAGATCCACCTGGGGAAAACCTCACCTCCGGAAGACTGAATGCAGGACATCCTTTCTTAACGTCAATTCATGCACGTGATACGACCTGCTGAGGCAGTCTGCTAACCTGTTTTGATCCTCCGGAAGATATGTTGCCACCAATTGGACTGAGTGGGCTATACAGAAGTCCCATAGGAGGAGTGCCTCGTGACAGAGGGGAGAGGAGCGGGCCCCGCCCTGCTTGTTTATGTAGAACATGACGGTAGTGTTGTCCGTCAGAACTGACACGCTGTGGCCTTCTATGGTAGCGTGAAAGGTCTGGCAGGCGAGACGAACCACCCTTAACTCCTTCACATTGACGTGGAGCAACTTTTCCTCCCTGGACCATAAGCCCTGCGTTCGTAGGTCCCCTAAGTGTGCCCCCCAGCCCAGGTCTGACGCATCTGTTACTAGCGTCAGGGTGGGCTGCGGTGTAGTGAAGGGGACCCCTTCGCAAACTTGCTGTTGATCGAGCCACCAGTGGAGGGAGTTTGAGACCCGAGCTGGGATTGTCACTACAAGGTCCAAGGGGTCTCTGCTGGGGCGATACGTTTGGGCTAGCCACAGCTGTAACAGTCTGAGTCTCAGGCGGGCATGTTTGACTACCTGTGTGCAAGCCGCCATGTGCCCCAGGAGTTGCATATAGCACCTGGCTGTGGTTGTGGGAAATTGTTGAATGGAGGTTACAGCTCTTTGAATGGCCACGAACCTGGGAACTGGAAGACTTGCTCGTGCCTCCACCGAGTCTAGGACTGCTCCTATGAAGTCCAGTCTTTGTGTGGGGATCAGCGAGGACTTGGGCACATTGACCAAGAGACCGAGCTTGTGGAACACATGTAACGCCAGTGTCACATGGGAGCGAACCTCGTCCTGCCCGCGAGGAACCAGTCGTCCAAGTATGGGTATACCCGCATCTTTCTTTTTCGAAGAAAGGCTGCCACCACGGACATGCATTTCGTGAACACTCAAGGGGCCGTTGCCAGGCCGAAGGGCAAGACCGTAAATTGGAAATGGTGCTGGTTGATGGTGAAACGCAGGAACCGCCGGTGAGCAGGACGGATGGCAATGTGAAAGTACGCATCTTTCATATCGAGGGCAGCGTACCAATCCCCCGGATCCAGGGATGGGATAATAGCGCCAAGGGAGACCATGCGAAAGCGGGCCTTCACTAAGAATTTGTTTAGTTTGCCAAGGTCCAAAATGGGGCAGAGACCCCCTTTTGCTTTGGGGATAAGGAAATATCTGGAGTAGAACCCTTTCCCTTTTAGGTCTGGAGGGACCTCTTCCACCGCCCCTGCCCTGAGGAGGGCCTGCACCTCCTACATAAGGAGTTGCTCGTGAAAGGGGTCCCTGAAGAGGGACGGGGAGGAGCGGTGGGAGGGAGGGGGCGAGGAGAACTGAAGAGTGTATCCCACATCCACCGTGCGAAGGACCCAACGGTCCGATGTTATACGGGACCAAGCACGGTAGAAATGGGACAAACGGTCCCTGAAACATATGGGAGGATCCAGTGTGAGGGTCGGTATGCTGTCACCGATTGCAACTTCAAAATCCTTGTTTGTTGCCAGGTTGCGGCTTGCCCTGGCCTTGGTTTTGGTTAGGCGTGTTGTTTCGCCTATGCCTGCTGTCTCTGCCCCTTCTGCGGTACGGTTCCTGCCTGGGGCAAGGGTGGTACTGCCTCTGCTGCGGCGGTTGGGGCTTAAAGGGCTTCCTCTGTATCGCTGGGGTGTACATTCCCAATGACTTGAGGGTCGCTCGGGAGTCTTTGAGGCTATGCAGCCTGGCATCCGTTTGGTCTGAGAACAAGCTTGACCCTTCGAACGGGAGGTCTTGTAAGGTGTTTTGCACCTCTGGTGGAAGGCCTGAAGCCTGTAACCACGCCGAGCGCCTCATCACCACCTCTGACGCGACTGTCCTGGCAGCTACGTCCGCAGAGTCAAGGGAGGCCTGCAGAGAGGTTTTGGCCACCGCCTTCCCTTTGTCCACGATGGCTGCGAACTCGGGTTGCGAGCCCTGAGGCAGGGAGTCCTTAAACTTGGAGACTGATGCCCAAGAATTGAAATTGTACCTGTTCAGGATCGCTTGCTGATTAGCGATCCTTAATTGGAGGCCCCCGGACGAGTAGACCTTTCTACCAAACAAGTCCAAGCACTTTGCCTCCTTGGCCTTGGGGGCCGGGGCTTGTTGGCCATGTCGCTCTCGTTCGTTGACCACGGATACGACCAGCGAATAGGGTGTTCGGTGACAAAAGAGGAAGTCGAACCCTTTGGAGGGGGCGAAGTACTTCCTCTCTAGGCCCTTTGCAGTGGTGCACTGGAGGCCGGTGTTTGCCATACTGTCTTATAATTAGACTGTATCGTTTTTATGAGCGGGAGCGCGATTCTGGAGGGGCCTTCAGGGCTTAGGATGTCCACCATGGGATCCTCCTGCTCTACCGTCTCCTCCACCTGTAAACCCAAATTGAGGGCTACTCGGCGGAGTAGTTCCTGGTGCGCCCGATGGTCAACCGGGGGAGGGCCTGATACTGCCGTGCCCGCCACGGCTTCATCTGGCGAGGAGGAAGAAGTTAGAGCCTTCTGTGCTTCCTTCTGCATCTCCTCACCGGCTGGGAGCTCCTCTGGAGTCTGTCCAGCTGAGCGGGCCTGAGACGGTACCGGGCTCGGTGCCGTGTCGGCTCTCTCTTGCTCTCGTGGTCTGGAGACCGTGGCCTCCTTGTGAGAGATGGGGCGCCCCTGCGGGGAGCGGGACCGGTGTCCTGAGAGGCCGGATCTTGAGGCCCTGGACGGGGGGCCTTGGTGCTGGTGGTAGGCCCATGGAGTCCAGAATGGCCACTGTCCTGACGTGCCCCACTGTGGGTGCCAAGGGGCTTGGTGTTCCCTGCTGGCTGGTGCCCTGTGGGTATATCTGCTGGAATGGCCCGAGTCTGCCTCAGAAACCACGGACGGCGACCTTGAGGGCCATGATGGTGCCGTGGAACGGTGCCGGTCCGGGACCGGAGAGCGGCGCTTTCTTGACCGGGACCGGGATCGGGAATGGCGCCTCGTCGACTGGGAACGGTACCGGTGCCCTTGGGACCGGGAACGACTGCTAGTGGTCAGTCTCGGGGATCGCGTGACTGAAACGTCCCGGTGCCTGTTCGGATAAGGAGCCGGGGAACGCTGGACCAGTGCCGGGCGTTTGCTAGGGCAAGACGCCTGTGAGGCTCTCTGTGCCGAGGATAGCCGGGAGTCCACCGAGGCGGAGCTCAACCGGGACTGTGGGCGCACCATTGCCGGTTTGCCTCTGGATGGTAGTCTCGGTGTCGGCCCCGGATGCTTGTCTTTGGCCTGGAGGGGGCTCTCCACGGACAATTCGATGAGGTCCCTTGCTGCCTCAAACGTGTCCGGCGTGGAGGGCTGTTCCAGAAGCTCCTCCAGCCTTTCCTCCTCACTCGAGGCGCTTAACCCGGGGCTCGACGGGCCTTTCAGCGCTGGAGCCACTGGCACCAGGATCTGTCCTGGGGCAGCAATGCCTTTTAGCGCACTCGAGTCCTTCATGGGCGCTACCTTTTTATGTGGGGAGCGCCCTCGGGCCTTGGGTTGGCCCTTTGATTTGGTCGGCGAAGATGACCGGTGCCGGGGGCGGTCCTGTTGTTTCGGTGCCGTAGGCTTAGGGTGCCCCACCGGTGCAGGATCACGAACCAATGCCGGGGCACTCTGCACCGAGGCTGACGGTGCCGCGGTCGGATGAGTCGAAGTGGAGGGCTGTAATGCAGCCTCCATGAGTAGCTGTTTAAGCCGAAAGTCTCTCTCTTTCTTAGTTCTGGGCTTGAAAGCCTTACAGATCTTGCAGTGCTCTTTCTGGTGCGATTCCCCCAGGCAACGGAGACACGAGTCGTGGGGATCGCTAATCGGCATAGGCTTGCGACACGTGGCACAAGCCTTGAAGCCTTGGGCGTGCGGCATGCCCCGCCGCCCAGGGCTGGTGTCGCAATTTAACCAAACACCTAAAACAAAGGAGCTTAACTATCTTCTAACAAACTGCTAACTACTAACATTAACAGTGATAACTATTAACGCTAAGGGACACTCTCAGGTGAGAGATAAGAGTTGTTCCAACGCCGTCACGGACGGTAAGAAGGAACTGAGGGAGAGTCGGGTCGGCAGGTGTATATATATGCTAGAGCGGGGCGCCGCTCTGGCGGGGGTGGGGGGAACCCCTGCCAGCCCGACGGGAGCCGCTGAGGGAAAAAGTTTCCGATGTCCGTGCATGCGACGCGCGCACACCTAATGTGTAATGGACGTGAACAATCACTCGAAGAAGAAAATTAATAATCTGGAATTGTTATTCAAGTTTCCATAACATGCAAGTTAGAGGGGCAGTGCAGCAACAGTTGCTACTGCAATGATAGGAGGAGGAGAAAGAAAATTAGAAAAAAAATTGTATGAATACATTAAGTTTTAAAACAACTAAAGCTACACTGCAGTCGCTGAGTCAAATTCTACTCTTTCTTACACTGCAGTATAATCGAGACTAACTCCACCGACTTCAATGGGTTTTTCTGGAATTATACCAGTGTAACAGAGCAAAATCTAACACACAGTCTAGAATAGCAGGAGCTCCTTTATGGAGATCAAAGAAGATGGAGATCATTCTTAGTCATAGAGGAAATACTGTCACTTCAAATAAAGACAAAAGGATTTCAAGTTTGTTATTTCAGATGTTTTCTGTGCAGAAGATAATGATTGCAAGAATTAGCACATATGAACTAACCTTAGACTTCATGTAAGGCAATTTTAGAGCGGAAATAAAATTAATTTAGCAATTTCAATGTGAGATATTTTAAAGTAAATTATAAGAACGCTAGCATAAAGTTCTGGTTATGTACAGCTGTTCTACATTAAAGTGTTCTATATTCTTAAAGAGACACACATTGGTAATGCTTCCACTCTCAAAAAATATTTAACACTCACCTCTTCAGGTAATTCACTATACATGGTTTCAGAGGTAGACAGCAGAAATATAGGAGAAAATGACGGTATGTCTTGCAGCAAAGTTAGAAAAGTAGCTCTCACAGTTTCACTGACAGCTTCCCACCAGTCACCAATATGAGGCATGTAAACAATACTTGGTACAGTTCTTCGAGCTTCACGAAAGATCTAGTAAAGAGAAACACTAGTATTTAAATTCAGAAATTAAGTATTACGACACACAATAAAAAATGAAAACTTATGGGCTTAGGTAATGCCTCCTGGTGCCTTCAATAGACATCCTCTCATCAGCTTAATTAGCTCAAATTACAATAAAAATGCTTTCCATTCAAGTTTTTATGAATATATTGTTTGCTTCATCGAATTACTTTAAGCCAGTATGCAATGCCATCCAAAACAGCTACAGGTCGTATAAGTCAACATCCTGTTTTAATAATCTATTACAACTAAGATCCAACTAGCAAACCACATGGAAAGTTAAACTGTACCACATTTTGCAGCAGAAGAGAAAAATGTGAAATGTCACAACAAATACAAGATGAAATGTCATACTAGCTTTTTAAGATTTGTAAGCACTATGCTGAGTCCATTAAACAGCTTTGTTTTGGCTCAGGCACTTGTAAATACAGTGCACTGAGTTAGTTGTTGCTGCTTAACCAAATAGAATGTTTGACAGGAGGACTGAAATTTTTCAAGAGCAAGGAAACATTTTAATTAATTAACTTTAAGTTTCGGGTTTGTTTACCTTAGAATTTTAGCAGTTTTGCTATTATTCCCCATGGTCTGCTATTTTTTCCTCACAGGAGAACCAGTGTTCAGTATATCTGTTACACCTCAAAATTTCACCCTCTATATCCAACTCTATGAGTACATAAAAACTCAGCTCAATTACCACTTCCCTTTGTCTTCTGGCAGCCCAGATATTCTGACATCATTATGATAGTAGAGCAAGAAATATTCATCTAGTTTATTTTAACAAGTCCATATCTATTTGTAATTTTTTTTAACGTTCATTTTAATTCTGGTGGCAGATTCCTCAAGAACTAAAATTGTTTCTTCAGCTTGAGTTGTACTGCCCACAATAATTGCTACAAACTCTTTCAACTCCTTATCGGTGATTACTATTGATTCCATTCAGTTTGCCCAAAACACTTATAGAAAAGAATGACAACTTAAGGATTATCTTTCTGGTCCTAAGTTTGACTCCAATCAGGAGAGAGAGATAAGGATGCCATTCCTTTTTTCAGTATTAGAGCTCTGAATCGGAATTTTGGCCTTACTTGTTTACTTCTTCCAGCCATGCCCTCTTTTAGGTGTTGAATGTAATGTTAAAAATAAAGCTAACACACATTACCACAACATAAATTTGTGATAACTCTGTGAAGCTTCTCTTCCACACAGCTGCTTGCTAACAGCATTATGGGACTCCAGCCTCACACAATTATTCACTAAACTGATAATGTGCGCACAGAGAGTTTAATGCAAAGAATGTGTATGTGCACACATGTGTGTGTGTGTGTGCGCAACAAAAGCTTCCTACTATAAGACAGGTGAAAGACTTCAGTGGCCTTCTAGTGTAAGCCCACCATAATTGGCCTGTATATTTTGGCATACCAAAGGAGCTGCCCTTAACAGTTAAAATTACAACAAAATAGTTAAGGTAGATACTATATATCATCAGAAATATTGCATTACAGGTTTCTGGTTTAAAGATCATATATGAAATTTTAAATTTTTAAGCCAATAAATTCTAAGAAAAAAATGTTAAAAACAGAGTTAAGGCTGAGAATACATATGAGTAAGTTTAGGATTAAAAAAATTACATTATATTTTACCCTTATGTTACTAATACACTTTTAACATTAACCTTAATACTTTTAAACAATTTTTTGTCTTGCATAGATAGATATAAAATGGAATGAGGCATAAGCAACTCTCAATGAAAAAACAGTATTCTTAAGGCATAAAAACATTTTAGTAATTAGACTTGATTTTTATGCTTCTTATAAGAATGAGTAATATTTGTAATGAAAATTTCAAGAAAAGTCACCTTCTCCAGTTCTGGGTTATCTCAGAAAAATACATTTATGATCACATCATATTGTATGTGCACATCTTCCGTAGTAGTGGGTCCTCAATCCTTATATCTTCCCTCCCTCCCCCCTGCCTATTCACTTCTCACTTCCTTTCTTAATCTCAGTATCCTCTCCTCATTCTTCTTTTCCCACAGATGAATAAGGCGTCAACTAAATACCATTAACCCAAACTCCCAAACAGTGACTCTCAGACTTTTTAGGAACATAGGATGTAAATAATAAATCAGACTGTTTTAAAAAGCTTTTATGAATACTTGTATGTGTTTATTTCCTTGTCAACAAAGACAGATTTCTGTGCACGCACAGTTCAAACAAACCTATAGAAACCAGTTTTCCTCGGAAGTTACAAGGTATTGCATGGCTATAATGTAGTTGTGGTGGCACATGAGGATGGAAGTCCATTCTAATAGTCCCTTGCAAGTCTTCCTTTGGCAAGAATCAGTATAGGAGAATTTGGCTTTCTTAAATCCCTCAAAATTGCATCTTCCACCTCATTCGTGGTCAATCTCATGCTCCACTTCCTTCAACCTCAGGTCTATAAACTTTCTGTGAAAACAAATCTTTTGCATGCTAGACATAACCCCACTATTGCAGTTTTGTTCTCACCTGATGCAAGACTGCAAATCTCCAGGACCATTCAAATATTTTCTCATTTGTGACAAAAATCAAATGAACGGACATCAAGAATACACCATAACTTTTGATACTGAAAACTTTTGTTTACTCTCTTCAACATTTTTAACGGTTCTGTTCTGTTCCACATAGGAATGTTCAACACAGAATTGACTACATGTCTTGACTTAGTTGTCACACAGACATCCTGCTGCCCAAGCAGGACTTTGAGACAGATCTAACATATGACTTCTTAAGATATAGAACCTTCTGCTGTCACCCGCCTACCTAGACAGATAAAACTGTTTACCCAATCAGTGTCATTGCCATCTACATGCAGCATCGGCAGAAAAATCAGAATTCCTAACTATAAAACTATAAAAACTTTAACAAAAGATTTTTAATGTTATCATATTCGAATCTTCCTCTGCTTTAGCTTGCAATGGCACATGTACACTGTCTTTTATCCAAAATACCATAATTGTGTATATCATACTTTATTGGAAATAAGTTTGAATAAAACCACAGCTAGCATCAATGCTCTATGATGCTCAGATATTATGTAGACTCACCTGTGCACATGATTCTTCAGGTGTTTTGGCACTAACTGAATAAAGTGCTGGCAGATCTAGCCTGTGTACAGAGAATTTTTCAAGAGAGTGCAATAGTGCTGGAGCGAGGTGAGAAGTTTGACCAGAACCTCTCTCTCCTGATAGCAGTAATCTTGGCCTATAAGAGGTTGGCTGGTGGTAAGCTGACCTATAACAGAAGTAACATTTTAAAAATATCACCATGTATCATTATATAAACATATATGTTTATCTATACAGAGTTCCTGGTGTTTCAGCTTTTATTTAGTAATGTTTAAAATTTTAATTCTTTTAGATTTTTTAATTTACTTCATCTCAACTAATACGATAATAGAGATCTTCTATTGGAGATCCTACAACTGTACTGTGCTAACTTTGGCATGCCTCAGTTTCAGCACTGATTACCTTGGGTCTTGTCTATACACACAGTTGCAACAGTGTAACTGATTAGAAATTGATTTAATTAATCAGTGCAAAATCGGTGTGGGTATTATTAAATTGATGCAATCCTAGATTATAAATCAACTGTCTTAAATATATTCCTTACCAAAAGAAGCTAAATCGATATAATCACTCTTAAATCCATTTAAAGGTTCACATGTGAGTTTGTATGCGTTTATAATTGCAGCTTTACAGTCCTGCTAATCCACGGATATCCACGGACCATTTTTGCAGATCGCAGCTTGGGTGCAGATACAAATTTTGTATCTGTGCAGAGCTCTCCACCACACACTCGCCCAAACAGAGCAGCTGTGACCCAGTTCTCAGGCTCCAGCTCTCACACAGCAGCAGGCTGCGATATGTGGCAATAGTCCGCTGGGAATTCTGGGAGTTCTAGTCCCCAGCTTGCTCAAAACAGAGGAGGTAAACTACAACTCCCAGAACGGAGTGAGCCAAGCACCATTCTGAAAGAGGTGTAGTTGTACTTTAAACTAGCGGGCAGCAACAGCAAGCGTTATGGAGAGAGTAGTTGTTGCCGCTGTCTGTCCAGGCCGGATCTGTGTACGTTAGATCCGCCACAGCTGCATAGGGGTGTCTGAACCCCGCACTGGAAGGGCAGTGTTGCATAGGAGGGCCCAGAATTGTACCCTCCCTGCCTGGAGCAGAGAAGGAGATATGGCGGGGGTGGAGCAGGAAGTGAGGCAGGAGGTTCGTGGGGAGAAGTGGGGGGCAATAGGAGGTTGGGGGCTTGGCACAGCCCTGTGTCACTGCTGCGCAGTGACCCGTGCAGCTGTTAGTAGAACCCTGCAAATCTGCGGATATCCATAGACAATTTTTGTGGATTGCGGATCGGATGTGGATATAAACATCTAGCTTTAGTCATGTGTGTAGCAAGGTGTTAGCTAACAAAGGTTACTTTTTAGCAGCCCACAAAAGACCAAAATGAAGGATGAAAAATATTGTCTAAGTACCTGTCAGCTGTCTAAAAGCAAGTTATGCTGTTTATTTTCTGGGGGGTTTTAGGTGATAGTAGGTGAGGATATAAAATTATCTAAGTAAGCTCTTTGTCCGCTCTAAGAACAAAGTGAAATTGACGCATTAGTTTTCAGAATTAAAAATATTGCACAGGGGCTATTTATTTCATGCCAATGCATTTCTAACTGCCAAGACCCCAAGATTCAGCAAAGCACTTAAGAATGTACTTAACTTTAAGCATGTTCTTAAGTCCCATCGATTTAAAAGGATTTATGAAAATGCTGAAGCACTCTCCTATTTTTGGGTCTAGTATCTAGTCTAGTATTTATATTGCACACTTCTTACTAATAAGCTTCCAGCTGGGAACACTCACTCCCTTTAAAGGTTGCAAATGTGAGTCTATCAAATTACTTTGTATTTTTGTTAAAGGGCAAAAATCTTAAACGATTCTAGCCAGGTATTAGGGGGGAGGGGTTTAAAGCAGTGTCTCTTCCCATTAATATTACCTTGATTTGAAAGCTAAATTTTAAAATTAATTTAATTTTCTCTTTATTACTCGGTTTACTCTTTAAAATTCATTCAGCTTGAAGAGTGAAACTAGATTGCTCAGTTTTACTTTATGTTTTGGGTCAATCACTTTCTAGTTGCCATGCATTATGCACAAAACTTGTCTTTTGCTTTACAAATCTGATGGGGAAGGTCATAAATCCATCCACCAAAAAAATGTATAATGAAATTTAAAAATTAGTTATATGTGTACATTTTTCTTTTCTTTTGTTTCAACTGAAACCTGAATTTTGGGCCTGCAGTGCTTGACAATGTACCTTCAGGGAAACAGCAAGATTTTTATTTTAAGCTAATCAGTTATTTTTAAGTTCATGTTACTGCAAATACTGTTTAAGCATCACTGTTCAGAAATAAAAAATTTCTTTCTTCCACAAGATGGCTCTACTAAACAATGCCCTTTACTGGCCTCACATTTTCCTTAGTGAAATAGGCATCAACAGAATCTATACAAAATACTACTCTAAACAATTCATATTAAAATTAACATTTCTAGGTTTTTGTTGCTGCATCCATCTTAATATAAACAGTTGTGTTTCATCCAAATTTAATACACAAATTCTAACCTATAATGTCTCTGCAACTTTCCTTAGAAAAGCAGTTAAGAACACACAAAGTGAGGAAAAAATTAAGAGGAGGCTTTTTGGAATACAAGGAAATTTGACCTGAAACAAATTAATTTGTAATATCAGATTTAAATGCAATAAACATATATAATAACGGATATTGGTCCACTGACGCTCAATAGTACTTCTCAGTAAAAAAAAAGCAGCTAATGTATTGCACACTTAATATTTTCCAAAATACACCAGCATTTTTGCTTCCTTACTAAAACAGCTGGAAATTCAGGTTTATAATCTCCACAGCAAATGTCTCAAAAATATCCCAGGGGCTAAGCATGGAAATTACATTCTTAAAATGCTATGTACCAAAGGCCAAACACTACTCTCGAATACCCATATGCTGTTTGTAATAACACAAAGTCATTATAAAACATTTAAAAGATTTTAGTTAAACTAAGGAGAACTCTCAAGCTAAATAGAGCTCAGCATGCAAAACAGGTTTAAATGGGGACAGAACCAGCTCCCAGTTATCCATTCTTACTACTTCACAGGAGTGTGAATGGCTTGGAAAATTGCTCATAAAGACTTCAACACAGAAATCTCTCCATAAACATATCCCGGTATTTTAAACACATTTAGATATAAATATAAGGATGTTGCCATGAAGCACCTTTATAAACCCTTTCTTTGAACTCTAAGTGCAGAATATCAGCATATGACTTTAGAATTTCAGATCTCCTATGAATTTCACAGCTAAATGAATATACTCACATTGTAAAATGAAGGTAGGGTTTATGTATAGCAGCTGACGACTGTTTCTTTGGTGATCCTGAGTGACAGCCTGTCTCAAAAATTGAAGCATTTTCATCTTCACTATCATCTAATATTAGACTTGGTGCATCTGTTCAAAATGAGATGTTTATTAATGTTAGAGTTCTGTCATCTCTTGGTACACTTCAACAAAAAGACATTGGACATTTCTTGGTTAAAAAAAGTTTAATACATACTACATGAAGTGGGAAGAATATGTCTAAATATCAGAAGGTATAAGAAATTACTACGTGATTTTAGTAACCAATACTACCCAGAAAGTGTTAAAATACAGAGTTTAGTCAGAAATCCAAATGCCCTTTTACCATCAAGCAACGTGCCATTTTCATAACCATAAAGATACAAAAATAAGTTGTGTATTACAATAAATAAAATTGCTGGTTTAACTCATTACAAAATGTTTCCTCTTGATATATTTTGCTGCCAGATTCATTCATTGTTTATGTTATTGATTTGAACTTACTTACTGACTATGCATAATTGTGCACAATAAATAAGCCCCCAAAATTTCAGAAGTATACTTCATATTTCAATATTTTTCCTTGTGATAAAGTGGACAACTTGTGTTTGGGAACGGAGAACTGCTTTCTACCACACACAAATTTGATAAAGAATATCAAAATGGTCAATGTCAGTTCAAGTCAACTTTGTTTTCATATCTTGGGGTTTTAATCTATTTTGATTCCTTCAATAACAAGTCATTCTCAGCTACTGAATTTAACTGTACAGGGCTTCTTAAATGAAAGTAAAAGACTGAATACAACAGAGAAGAAAGACTATGCAAGAAAGTAAACTGAAAAATCCTGAGCACATGAAGCCAATCAGAAAAGTCATTTGGTAGAAGATTCAGCATGACTGGAAATCTACATTTCAAATTAATTCAAGATAAACAGGAATGACAAAGCAAAAACCAACATTGCTGGGTTGGAATTAAACTGGTAAGCATATACCACGTAGCTGTCATTCAAACTCAAACAGAGAAAAAAAATTCTAGACATCACTTACTTATGCTAACAATCAACTGGAATGTGGCATACGAGCACAAATATTTAAAACTATTACATGTAGAATCATAATATTGTAGGACTGCAAGGGCCCTCGAGAGATCATCTAGTCCAGTCTCCTGCACTCGTGGCAGGACTAAGTATTATCTAGACCAGGCATGGCCAAACTGTGGCTCCGGGAGGAATTGGTTACGAATCTAAAGGTGGAAAGCAATTTGGGTGAAAGTGATCATGAAATGCCATATCTCATGATTCTAAGTAAAGGAAGGAATGAGAGCAACAGAATAAGGACAATGGACTTCAAAAAAGCAGATTTTAAACAAACTCAGAGAATTAGTAGGTAAGGTTCCATGAGACGAAAATCTAAGGGAAAAAGGAGATCAGGCGAGCTGGAGTTTCTCAAGGAGACCACATTAAAGGCACAACTGCAAACCATCCTGATGCAAAAGAAAGACAGGAAGAATAGTAAGATGCCAAAATGGCTCCAACAGGAGCTCTTAAATGACCTGTAAATCAAAAAGGAATCCTACAAAAGTGGAAATATGGACAAAGTGCTCAGGTGGAGTACAAAAGACTAACATTAGAATGTAGGGACAAAATCAGAATGGCTAAGGCACAACATAAGTTACAACTTGCGAGGGACATAAAAGACAAGAAGAGGAGGTTCTTTAAATACATTAGAAACAAGAGAATGACAAAGGAGAGCACAAGCAGGGCTGGCTCCAGGCACCAGACGAGAAAGCACGTGCCTGGGGCGGCACATTGCAAGGGGCGGCATTCCAGCCAATCTTGGGGCGGCCAGCCCAGCCCTGAAGGGGCATGGACCCCGACCCGGGGGGGGGGGGAGGAGGGGCAGGAACTAGTGATCCCCGCTGCTCATCGTGCCGCCGGGCTCCCCGGGACGCGCCACTCCCCGCCGCCTGCACCGGCCTCCACCTCCCGCACCGCTCTGAGCCCGGCCCGGCCGAGCCGCCTTTAAAGGAGCGGCTGAGCCAGCACCTCCTGCAGCCCCCGGGCACTGGAAGGAGGGAGAGTTCTGCGGCGGCCCGGCAGGCACCGGAGGGAGGGAGGATTCTGCGGCGGCCCGGCAGGCAGTGGAGGGGCGGGCCCCCACTGATCCTGGTGCCGTTTGCACTGTGCCGAGCCCCCCTGCAATGCCGGCCCCACGCGGAGGTCGCAGACCCCAGCCAGCGCTGCCTGTGTCGGCCCCCTTGGAGCCTGCCCAGCCGGGAGAGGCACCCCAAGGCCGGAGGGGGGAGCCCCTCTCGCCCGGCTGCAAGCGGACTGCAGCGCCTGGCTGCCCACGGGTGGAGGGAGCGGGCGGGTGCCGCAAGCCGTCCAGAGTCCAATGTCCGAGCTAGGAGAGTCCCGGCGGAGTCGCCAGAAACTGTCACCGAAATATCGGGTTCACCTAGCTGAGAGCCAACAACAGCCAGACAGGGATAAGGAGGAGTTGCTTTATTTTGCAGAAGAAAGGAGAGCTTTGCACCTTGGTACAAAAACTCTGTCTTACACACATTTTACAGATCCTTTATACACATTCAGACAAAGGCCCTTGCCGTGTTAACACTTGATTGGTGGTTGTCAGACCCGTGCTTTTGCTATCTGGTTAGTGAAAACGGGCTTGGGACCAGGGCTAACTACCTTAAGGCCTTGAAAGGGAAGACAGTTGAAAAGTTCAGGCTACTGTGTACTTGAAGTGTCTGCTTCCCCCTAATGGCCGCTGGCTGACATAACGGCTACTAGCTGTTAAGGGGGGGGCGTCACTAGTAACTTTCACATTATTATAAGACTGTAAAGGAATGTGCATTTTGAATGTGTCTCTGCTGATATAGCATTTCAGAAATTAACTGAAACAGCTTCAGGGTTGTGTAACCCATGAAACCTGGTTTGCATGTCTTAGTTGTAAAATCTTTGGTCTGTGCAAATAGGGTAAAGCAGAGCACCAAGGCGGCTTCAGATGTGCCTCCCCAACCAACAAGACAAGCCAAAAATCCCAGCCAACAAAAACAGACCAATAAGAAGGATAACTATTTTAAGATAAGAACTGGATAGAGCCAACTGGATTGAAAGCAGAGAATGGATGACAGAAGTGGACAGATGAAAGCAAGTTTTAGCAGGATAAACAAAAATCTATTAGTTTAGGCTAGTTATTGTGATTCATGCATGATAATGTTTTAATTAGATAGGTACACAGATGAGGCAACTTGGTAAACTGAGTCTGCACAAAGCTACAAAACAAGGGATAAAAGACAGGTGCTTAAAAACAAGAGTAGAGAAGACACAGGAAAAGAAAACAGCAAAGACCTGAAATTTGAAGAGAGTCACCCTGTTCCTAGGAGAGGTAACTTGATCAATTAACTTTCTTGCCTTATATTTTTCTGCCTGTATATGTAATTTATAGATAATAATAGTGTTGTCCTAAAACATACAAAATAAAGGTTAAGAGAAACTGTTTAAGCCTAAACTGAAGTGGATCTTGGTTTTCATCCAATAGTGACCACATACTCAACACAATATTTACTTCAATGGTGAAGGAACGCAACCCAAAATAGGGAAAAACAGGTTCAAGAATGTTTAATGTATTCAAGTTGGCAAGGCCTGATGAAATTCATCCTAGGGTAATTAAGGAACTAGCTGAAGTAATCTCAGAACCATTGGCAATTATCTTCAAGAAACTCAATGGAGGACAGATGATGTCCCAGCGGACTGGTGAAGGGAACACAGTACCCATCTTTTAAAAGGGTAGCAAAGAACAAACAGGGAATTATAGACCAGTCAGCCTAACTTTCATACCTGGAGAGATACTGTAACAAATTATTAAACAATCAATTTGTAAGCACCTAGAGGATATTAGAGTTATGAGTAGCCAGCATGGATCTGTCAAGAACAAATCTTGCCAAAGCAACCTAATTTCCTTCTTTGACGGGGTTACTGGCGTAGTGGATGGGGTAAAGCAGTAGACATGATATATCTTGATTTTAGGGTATGCCTACACTGCAATTAAACACCTGTGGCCGGCCCATCAGCTGACTCAGGCTCATAGGCTCGGGCTATTGGGCTGTTAAATTGCATTGTAGATGTTCAGGCTCAGGCTGAAACCTGGCACCCCACGAGGGTCAAATGTAAGACACGGAAGGTAACTGTCCTGTTCTACTCAGCACTGGACAGACCTCCGCTGGAGTTTTGTCCAATTCTGGGTGCCACACTTTTGGGAAAGATATAGACAAATTGGAAACAGCCCAGAGGAGAGTAACAAAATGATAAATGGTTTAGAAAACCTGTCCTCTCAGGAAAGATTAAAAAATGGGCAGGTTTAGTCTTGAGAAAAGAAAACTGAGGGGATACCTGATAACTATCTTCAAATATATATAAAAAAGAGAATGGTGTTATAAAAAAGAATGATTAATTGTTCTCCATGTCCCGGAGAAGAAGTAATCGGCTTAATCTACAACAAGGAAGATTTAGGTTAGATATTAGGAAAAACTTTCTTTCTTACACTCTGGAACAGGCTGCTGAGGGAGTTTGTGGAATTCCCAACACTATGTTTTTAAGAACATGCTTGAAAAACACCTGTCCGGGATGGTCTAGGTTCACTTAGTCCTGCCTCAGTGCAGGACGCTAGACTTGGTAACTTCTTGAGGTCCCTACCATCCCTACTTTTCTATGATTCTATCTATCTGTTTATGACTAATACTCAAACTCAATGAAAACTTCCAAACTCTCTTTGGTAAAAATAAGGAAAGATCAGTAGGAAGGAAAACAAACGAATATATAGACCATTTAACCATAAGCATAAAAGAATCTTTAGAACAAACTTTTTGTCATTGACTGCTTGGAAAGTACCAGCACTAGAGCAAAAGCAACAGCACACAGACTTTGAAAAAACATGACAAAAAGAGCAATTCTTTTCTCTTAACAGTGTCAATAACAAAGGGCTTCTCAGGTGGTATTTCCTGGAGGTTAACAACTGGGTTTGTTAAGGAAGCTCTCGAGAAGAATTTAAGTAATTCAAGCCAGAGACTGCTCTAGAGTAGGTAACTAGAAGTGAGAACTCCAGGATTCA